CAAAAGCCTGCTATGTTTTCTTATTACTTGATATTTATACACTTAAAGGGACAGCCTAGATTATATTTTTTAATAATGATCTTACTACTCATTCATTTTAATATTTACTGAGGAATATATCATTTCACTTAGGAAAATGACTACATTAATTCATACTTTGAAGATGGAGATGATTTTGGTGCAGATAGTGACGACAACATGGATGAAGCAACCTATTAGCTATGAAATTTCTCCCAAAGTATCTTTATGATACCACTTCTGAACACTTGGACAGACTTGTTTTCTATTTCTGATAAGGAATATTATATTTTTGTTCCTGTTTTGTTGGACAAATACTTGCTGTCAAAATATTCAGAACCACTTTGAGTTTACATACTAGTTACCTTACCAATCAGTCTCTGATACTCTGACATTCCTTTTCAACACCCCTGTCATCTGTCTTATGTATTCAAGTGGATTTTTCTTGTATCATTTGGATTTCAATGTGCCTAGAGTTTTTGCATTTTTAATCTATGTATTCATACTTGAACAAATTACTCTTGTTGAACTCGATCTGTTGTAAAACTATTACTAGTCATTATAGTGGATTTCTGTAATCTGAAAGTTGATATAATAATACTGCACAAAGAGCACTTTAGAAACAAACTTGAAAATAATTTTATCTTTTATTTTCGCATGGTATGTTCTGTGCTGCATTATGAATGACTGCAAAAACCTACCTGAGCTCTTACAATTGCATATTTTATGAGATTGGAAGTTTTGTGATCAAAAACATCCAGGGAAAAATGCCCCATTCTGAACTGTATGAATTTCCCAGCTCACATCTTAGGCTGTACAAAAACCTGGGATGAATACTAAAAATACTTGAATTTGGAGCCAACTCAATGCCACTTAACATATAATCATCTCACTGTAGTTAAGTTTGATATCTTTGAATAGTTGGGCTTATGAAAAATTAGATATCTAATTTTGTACTTTACGAAAGTGTAAAGAAAGTTCTAGTCATAAATCTCACTGCAGAATGCATGTGTATGAAATCTGTTTGGTGTAGTGGCCATTGTTAAATTTCACAGGACTCATAGTTATCCAATTGATTTATATAACAATGCAGAATAAAACTCAGGTCATTTTAAAATTAAGAGTAATCTTTTTTGTTTTGATTAAAAACTAGCTCCCATGCCGTTTTATATTTTGGCAGGAAAATACCTAAAACCCCAAAGACACACAAATGCCAAAGATTTTTAAGGGAATTCGTATTGTATATTTTTAAATGATTTCTTAATATTCCCTACCAAAAAGAATAAAGACGATAATTTTTCCCTTTGGGGAAGATATTACCCATTACCTTCTAACCCTGAGAATCAAAGCCCTAGATTCTGTTTCTACCTTTACTATAGACTCAACCTTGAAAATGAGCTTGGTTAAGTTTTCTGTGCCTTAGTTTCTCCACCTGTAAACTATTTTCTATAAAAATTGCTTACATACCAACCAAAATTTGCCATGTGTATTCATTCATACCTTATAGAAATGATCACTTAATTTAAATTTGGTTCTCACCCTCTAAAAAATGGTAACTTCGTAAGTGATTGAAAACAAAGTTTTGAAAAACAAGCATGTTTTCCTCACACACTATATTATAACCTGATTTTCCCATCTTGTATTCTGGAGGGAAGGACTGGAGAAAATTTGTCTTGTGCCATTTTGCAACATGACTTTCTCAGGAAAAACATCACTTTCAGTACCTCCTCAGATTATTCAAGGTGGGTGTGAAGGACCATTGTTAGTTCAGTGTGTCAATCATATGTGAATTATTAGTTGAAATTAGCTTCTGGGAAACTTTAAACATTCTAAATGGAAAACAAAAAAAGTCCACGTTAAAACAGCAATCTACTGGACTTAAAGTAGAAACTCACATAAAGTTTCTAATTGTAATGGGCAAATAAAGTCACTTGGGATTGTTAAAACATTGATGTTTTATTCTCTCACCTCCTTAGTACCTTAGCCAAATACCATTTAATTTATAGAAATCTGATCTCAATAGTTCTATTTACTTGCTTAGATATAAATCTGCAGATAACCCTGTGAATTGGTCAGATGCACTGAAGATACAGATATTTATTTTCCTAGCTTTCAATTTTGCCTCCAGTTTTAGTCCAGCAGATGGTAAGACAGCCCCTTTGGGCAGGGATTTGCTACAGGAGGCCCCAGCCATCTGCCTTAAGTGCACTGTCTTCCCCCTTTGGAAGATCTTTTTATAAGTTTAAAGTAGACTAACTGTTGAGGACAGGGAGTATTTACAGGTTGCTTTACCAGCATGAATCTTGTCTTTCTGGCTTAAAATCTCGGAGACTGTGAAGTTACTTATTCCATAAGAAAGTAAACTTTAATGCAGAGATAGCCTCCTGTATATAAAAAAGTACTTGAAGTGTCTTTACAATTGCTGTATTAACAGGCCAAACTGTTTTGTTGCTATATGCTTATTTTCCTGTTTACACATTAAATTCTTACAAAACAAAGTTGTGTCCTTTTGTTTTATATAAACATGGTTTATTTTGAACCTACTTAAATATGTTTGAGAAAACAGATTTGTTAATACAGATTTTACATAGTAAAATAACTTTATTTACTGAGCAAGTATGACAGTTACCAAATATTCTTCAATAAACCACCCACAAAAGAAAACTCTAGATGATTAAAGTCATGTTAACAAATTAAGAGATTTGGCAGACAGTGTAATATTAGTATGATCACTGGTATCGGGAACTGACTTACAGTGGATACAAGAGAATGCTAAGAAATTTGGAAGGTCTTGTTAACCTTTCCATCCCCACCACATTCAAATGTACAGTGTCAATGGCTTTGCCTCCATATGCTTAAAGGCTCTGGAGTTAGTAAAAACTTATTATTAGGGACGTCTGGGTGGCTCAGGTCATGATCCCGGGATCCTGGGATCAAGCCCCACATCAGGCTCCGTGCTCAGCGGGAAGCCTGCTTCTTTCTCCCTCTCCCTCTCCCCCTGCTTGTGTTCCTTCTCTCGCTGTATCTCTCTCTCAAATAAAGAAATAAATAAAATCTTAAAAAAAAAATACAACTTATTATTTAAAAAATGAGTTTAAATACAATTTTAAGGAAAAAAAATTGTATCACAATTCCTCCATTAAATAAATAAAAACTTCAAACAACTTTTTCAATTCTTTTTGCTACCAGTAATTTTGAAAAATATCCTTGAAGTGGAAAGGTGGTTTCATGATAAAATTTACATATAGAGCATTTTGCTAAATATGTGACCCACAACTTGCTAAGCAGCCATGGACCATGCCTTTTAAAGTCTTCTTCCCTGATATCAAAGAACATCCAAAGAACATCCATCTGAAATTTGTTTTCATTTATGTCCTATAAATAATCCAGTGGATTTTCTGTATAACAAGTGAGAAATATGAATTGGTAGACCTTTGGCAATTCTATCTACCTTACATAGTATCTCTACATCAAATAGTTTAAAAGAGGAAACAGTTTTGCTTTTATTCAATTAAATTCACCAGCTTTCATTTTAGACTGAATAATAAAATAGAAACTTTATTACATTTTGCATATCTTTTAAAATACGAAAAATAAGGGCAGAAAGTTTTAAAAACCAGTTTTACAGATGTACATGCTAACAATGTTCTACAATTCCATTTTGCCTTTGTATAAAATACATTATACAAAAGATTTATAGTATCTGCATACATAAAAAGAATTAAATAAAGCATTCAGATATTTCTATGATATAACAGTGCAATATGCACATACTTAGAAGAAAAATACTGATTTCCTGAGCAACGCTGTTGTAATTCAAAATAAGAATGATACTGATCATAACGCACCATTTAAATAACAGACTTCTAAAAACTCTACCTTTACCCTGTAACGCTTTGACTGGATCCTTGCTTCATGATATTTCTGAAACATCCTTCATATTCCCAACTAGGTAATTTTAGAAATAGATACCTTAAAAAGAACTAATTAGTAAGTAGTGGGTCATTTAAAGAATTTTTGCTGAACAAGCGAGTTCAGAAAAAGAAAAGCTTTAAAAAACACAAAGTCCTTTGGAAAAGTTCATTTAACATTAGTCTTCTTTCTAATTCTAATGTGGTCAGCAGACTATATAATCCATTTTACCCTATCTTTTGAAGAGATGAATCCCATAATTTTCTAGGAGTAGGATGGCAAAAACTTTAAATGGCATTCAATAGTTCAAAACAACCTTAACCATTTGTACCCATCGTTAAAAAAAATAATCTGCCCTAAAAATAGCAAATTTTTCTTCACTTACAAAGCCACGTTTTTAAGTGAACCAAATGCAATGATTCACAATTGTTAGCATATATATAACATATATACCTTCTAATGTAAAGCATCCAAGTAAATTCAAATAAGGGTTTCAACATATTTAAAATGCACAATATCAAATAATAACTCAATATTATTAAGTTTTACAAAGTAATTATTTGCTACAAATTTTGATGTATATTAGTACTTTTTAAAAGGTAAAATTATTCTAGATCTATTAAATGCTTAGGAAAATTTTTTTTAAATGACCATTAAAGATTAGAATCTAAAATTCTATATATATGACATATATATAGAATTCAAATATATAGAAAAAGGAAACTGCCTGATTGTGTCATAAGGATATGTTATATTTCCTTTGCAAAAGAGGACGCACTGCAAGACAAAAATGGTTTTTAATCAAATACATAGTACACTTCACTACTTTAAGTTACTTATTTTGGAAATCAGACCTATCACAATTTCAAAGTAGCACTAGCAAAAAGGAATCACTGACTGTAATTTCATCAATTTGATGTAAACAAAGTTCTTCATTCTACCCTAAAATAATCCAATCATTTTCCTTCCCTAAAACTTGATTTTTCAGCAGGCATAATAAATACAATGTAAACTGACCAAGTTAACACTGAGTGTAAATTAGAATGATCATACCTTTTTTCCAACATGCCAAGGCACATTAAAACAATTTTTAGAATTCCAAACTAAAAGAGTTACTCAAAATATGATTTTGCTACAACTTCCATATTAACACTTTTCATTAATTGTCTAAGGTCCTCTGATACATGCAAGGGCTTTAATGTTTGACTTCTTTGTCCTGTTTCTTATACTTTGCTCCTGAAAGTATACATGAAACCTCATTTACCATATGTACTTATTCATCCCCCCCCTTTTTATTAAATCAATATTGGAGTTGGAAATACAAAATGACTGATCAAAACCTGAAACATTAAAAATTAGGAAATAATGCCCAGAAAATGAGGTGATATTATATAACTTAAGGTACATACTTTATTATACACAAACAGGCAATCCAGACTCTACCAAATCTTTCTTCTAATGAATCATTTGGTTACATTTTTAAAACACATACTTGAAGAAATTAAATGATGGAAATCAGTATGCAAATGATGCTTATTTAGCCAGACTGTCTGATCCCCAGCAAATCTTAGGAAGTAGCACTATCAAGCCCTTTTGGCTGATCCACACACCTGTGGCTCTGTTCCCCAATCTGATGCTATAGTTCAGAGGGGAAAAAAAGGTCTAAGTTGGACATTTTCTCTTTGAAAAATATAGGTTAACGGATCAATAAATAATTTGTCTGTTAGTGTTAATACAAAAGGTCTCTTGTACCTTTGCTTTTGCTTAATGAACCACTTTCTCCAATAGACCTGAGGCAGCCAAAAATCTGTTTTAACCCTATGAAGTTTTACTTGATAGTGAAGGTGGAGACGAATTTATATGGCCTAGGCCATATAAATTGGACCATCTGAAATAATCCTTAATTTTAATTCTAAAAATTGTATTAGCTTACATAAAGTAGTATTGTAAGGCATTAAATGTAATTAAGGCATGTTACTGCATGTAACACAGCAACAAATTATCACAGTATGTAGGGATTTATTTCCTAAATAATGCAATTCATATAACACTTTTCATTAAAGAATTACAAAGGTGCTTTCAAATAAGAGGCAAATATAATCACTTAAAAAACAGAAGCAGAGGCAGCGAGCTTTAAGAGACAAAGATTACTTTTAGGTCTTGACCTAATCCAGTGTTCTAGTGACCAAATGGCAACTTCCTAACCATAACACATTATTTTGGGGGCTTATAAATTTTATTTTGCTTAATATATTTAACAATAACCTTAAACCAAAAAATAATTACTTGAAAAATAAAATTTAAACATAACCAGGCTTGAGTAAGAAAAATGATGCATTTTCCAAGTTAAGAACTTCCTAGACCCATATTTAAATTCATTTTTGCTTTAAGCACTGATACAAGATATGGATTTACAACTCTCAATATCAACAACTAGCAACTGTAGGAATTTACACTCAATCTATTTGCAACTGGCTCCAAAAAGAAGGGTGAAAAACAAGAGCATCTTCAGTCTCCCTAACTTCTGCCTTTAAAGTGGTTATTGAATGTAACTGATTCACCACACTCCAGATACACATGATCATTAACACTGTAATTATGAGCTAACTGCTATGTTTTGTGTTGAGCAGCAGGTGACTGAGAATCTTGACGATATAGTTTATGATCATGTTGGCCAAAGGGTATTCCTTTAGTTGGACCAATTCCATTTTCCACTTCTCTCTGTTGTGATGGGGGTGTCACTTCTGAATGCAAATGTGAAGAATCCATTGTTGAATGGTGACTAACATCCACTTTAGCTAAAATTTCATAATACAGCAAATAAAATACTGGCGTTATTATACCTACTATCAACATTATCACTACAGCTGTCCACCACCCTATTCCCCAGTCTGCTCCATAATAAGGATCCTTACGTTGAATGTTTTTGTTATCAGGTTCAAAACGTATTTGTTGTGCTGTTAAAGCAGATACCACCTCATTAAGGTTCTCTCTTTTGGTGTCTGTACATTTTACTATTTGTTCTATGTCTCGATCTACTTCTTTTAAAAAGTTATCAGCTGACTCAGTGGAAGAAAGAGAATCATTAGCTGGCAAAATTTCCTGTTGTTCTGGAACATACTGAACTGATGAAGGACGTGAAGCCTGTCTTCCTTTTGGAGGATAAAGTGTTTCAGTCAATGAACTAAACTTTTTAACTGGAATTTTGATAGACCTAAGGGCAAAAAAGTCTTGGTCGCTGATGAGATTGTTAACCCTCTTGATATCTGCTACCTGTTAAAAAAAAAAAAATAAAGCAACATTCAACTGAATTCTCCATCAAAACAGAGGTAATAGTCACTCATCCCAGTTACTTTTGGAAGGGGGAAAAAAAGTTGAGCTTAGTTATTAGCAGTATAAGTTATCACACCCAGAGAGATTTTATTTTGTGGATGACAGTTCTACATCACTTTTTGATCTACCAGTCTTGAGAAATCACTAATTACTTTTTACTATCACCCATGTATTATTAACACTAATGTTAGGTATTTAAGTAGATTCTGGGATCCTCTGATATTTCTCTTTGTACATCATGCACAAATATCACGCTTTCTGTTGTTTGTAAACAATTTGGGAAGAAGGAACGATTACAAATATTTATGTTCTTTCTTCCAGTCTGGCAATTAAAGTGTAGGCAAATGTCAACTTACCCAACTAAACCTACCGTATTTTATCAAAACTCAGATGCCATCAATTCTAAGATGTGCCATTATTTTACATATCATTAAGGGGGGAAAAAAAAAACCAAAAACACCAAATATTGAGAATACCACCACTCCAATTTCAAAGATGTTAAAATGTGTGAAAAAAAAACATGCACCTTAGAATTGGTAACATAATTTATCTCCCTCATTTGCCTTCTGATGATATTTTTTCCGAACTTCTCTGTTCATGCACTGTTCAATTACTCCCAAGATCGGTCATTATTTATAAGCTTTCCCTATAGATTATACGGTCCTCAACCTGTCTGTGTATCCTATCCATCTGCCACTGTCAAGAGGGAGAGCATGGGAGTGTTCCTCAGATTACCAATTATAATGATAAGCTCTCCCACCATCTTTAAGTAATCAGTCCCATTCTTGATTTCTATCAATGCTTTAACCTAAGCCCTGATCATTTATCACCTGATTGATGTCAGAGAGGCAAAGTGAGTCTAAGGATAAAACTTTTCTGGCTTGGTCAACTCAATGGATAATGATATCATTTCTTAAGATATGGAACACTCTGGAGGGAGAAAAGAAAATAAACACAGATTTTATACATGTTGACTTTGAGGTGACTGAAATATCTAAGTGGAAGCTATCCAACAGACAGTTAACAGGTATGTCTGAAATTTGGAAGAATGATCTCAGGTAGAAATATAGATTTGTGGATTACCAGCAAAAATGGTAATTGAAGTCACAAGAGTAGACAGATTCTCTAAAAAAGGCTGGGAGAAAAAGGTGACATATGAAAGATCTCTGAGAAATGCCAACATTTGAGGGGTATATTGAATAAGAGAATCTACAAAAGAAATTAAGAAAGAGTGGCTAAGGGGCGCTTGGCTGGTTTAATCAGGAAAGTGAGTTCGAGCCCCATGTTGGGTATAGAGATTACTTTAAAATAAAATTAAAAAAGGAAAAAGAAAAAAAAAGAGTGGCCAAGAAAGCAGTATATGATGGTGGTTAAAAGTATGGACTATCTGGGTTTGAAGGACAACTCTGACAATTTTCAAGCTATATGATTTGGGGCAAGTTATTTAACCTCTCTGCAATTCAATTTTCACATATGTAAAATGACAGTAGTAACACTACCTATCATATAGGATTTTGCAAAGATTAATAAATTAAAACACATGAACACTTAGAATAGCGATATACAGTGTTATAAAAGCTATAACATTTAATATTTAATATTTATATTTAATATATTTGGTATAATTAAATATTACTAGCAGAAAAATCAGAAAGATGCAAAATCAAGGAGATCAAACAAAGAGGGTTTTTAGGAGTGGTGAACTGATCAACTGCAGATTTCTGATCAAGTCCACTGAAGAATGAGAATTCCTGGAAAAATCAGTTCCCTGGAAGTGTATGTGTGGGAGAGGGATGGAGAGAGGGCTAAGGAGTAACTAGATGAGACAGTAAAGAAAAAGGGTGCTTTCAAGTTTTACAACCTCAAGACTGTTTTTTTCTTAAGGCAAATGAAGAGTCATTGACAAACCCCAAAGTCTGACCCTATTCTCTTCAAATGTTCATTTGTTTGGTATTGTCTATTCTGACTAATAACTACTCCATACTCTTTCTGAACCAGGCTTCCAAGTTTTAGTAGTCTACCTCGGTTCTCACTCTGAATATCCCTATATTTTCTTTTATACTAACTTCCTTGGTTGCATTTGGGATTCCAACCTTGGACCTTCTATCCTCTTGTCACTGTTTTATGACAGGCATATTTTTAATAATTTTTAAAACTAAGTATTTATAAGAAGAAAACAGCACTAAGTACTCGATTTTTAAAGTGATAAATCCTTTTGTAAGGATCATCCTTTTTGCTGGTTGAGCTCCTGGCAAAAGGGAGCACTGCTTAACTCCCTAACTCTATTCTATCAATTTTCCCTACTGTGGACAATACTTTCTTTCCTCTAATGCTAAGCTAACCGCCCTTTCATCATTCTTCATTTTAAATGAGGTATCAGCTGATACATTTTGTGAATACCCCCAAATGATTTTCTGTAAACTTCTCTAGCCTTACTACACATATTTTAGTCTAAACCCTGATCATCTTCACTTGAATTATTCCACTAACTTCTTTATTGGGTCCCCTCCAACTCACCAGCAGGTTTCCCTACCATTTTGTAGCACTCCTTAAAACTTTATAATGGTGTTCTTACTATATAGATCAAACTTCTCCTCAGTTATCTCAATGTGCTTCTTCCCATTAGTCTATGCCACTCATTTGTGGAACACCTATTAAATTTCGTCTGTTGTTCCCCTTATTTTCTCCTTCCACATCACTGTCGTATACCTTTCTCCTCATATACTCATACAGTCATATACTTTTTCCTTTTCACCTCATTGGAAATATGACCTATTTTTAATCATTCAGATGGCATTTCAAATTTCTCTTTTTCTAAGACAATGTATCAGGTTCTTTAAGGAAAACCCATGTCTTTCTCTAACAAAGCTACTTGACCACACTCTTCTCTTGGACCTCCACCTTAATAATTTTAGCTTTCCCCCTAATTTTTAAATCTTGATTACTTTCTATCAACTTTCTAAAGCACATTCTGTAACTTATTTCTCTACTTTCTAAAGCACATTCTGTAACGTCTCTACCAACATGTATTCACATGGCTATTTACACGCGTGGTTATTACACATTATGACCTAATAATAGTGTTGCCATACTTGAACAAGTTGCAAAAAAAAAAAAAAACCTCAAATCCAGCTCTTCTTACCTCATCAAGAAATGTGTTTCAATAAAATACTTAATTAAATTTTTAAATAAAAATTTGTCGTTATCTGTTTTGATCAACTGAAGTGCAGTAATTATTCAGAGAGAAATAATACACAGAACTTCATGGTCACAGGAAATTTTTTAAAATTCAATTTAAATTTACACATATTTGTATAAATAAATTTATAAATATATATGTTTCTATTCCAGAGAACTATAATAGGTAACCAATAAAAGGTTTTCAAGTACAAAAACATAAAAGACTGTGGGGGAGGATGAAAATATTAATCAAAGAGAAAAAGGAAAGATAAAAATTTCACACTCTTAAAAAAGCGCATATGGGGCACCTGGGTGGCTCAGTCAGTTGAACATCTGACTCTTGCTTTTGGCGCAGGTCATGATCTCATGGGTCATGAGATAGAGCCCCATGTCCAGCTTCAGGCTCTGGGCTCCATTCAGAGGCAAGGCTGAAGGTTCTCCCTGTAGCCTCCTCCACCGCCCCTCCCCCCACTCGTGTGCTCTAAAATAAATAAATTTTTTTTTTTTTTTAGTGCATAGAAAGAGTATTCTAACAGTCATATTTTTAAATATCAATATTGACAACGTTCTGGAAATTATATCCTTTAAGTCATTAGGAAGTATTTAAGCTCACTTTAAAATGTGCAAGGAGATACACAATACATACATTTCAAAATTCGATTGGAAGTATGAGAACAAAAAGTTTGAAAAAATGTTCTAACAGTTTCCAGATCAATGTGTTCACATGAAAAGATTCCATGCTAAGGAGGCAAGACAGACATAGTGATACAGATATAAAACGGGTTTAAACAGAGTTTAATATTATTAAAATAAAAAATATACCTTTCCTTTTATCTATCAGTCCTGCTTTTGGGAATCTATTCCACAGAAATAAAGGTACCACCATTTAAAGATATAGTTGTGATGATATTCACCACACACTTCAAAACGTGGGAGAAAATCCTGACTATGTGATAGGAGAACCGCTTAATAATTATGGCACATCCATACTATGCAATACTAGATAGCTATATAAAATGAGTTAGATCTGTAAGACAATGAGGGATGTCCATGATATGCTAAGAAAATGAAAAAGGCAACTTGAAGCATAATAGGCATAGTATAAACAAATTTTTATTTTGTTTTTTTCATTTTTTTTAAGATTTTATCTATTCATCTGAGAGAGAGAGAGAGCACAAGCAGGGGGAGAGGCAGAGGGAGAGAGAGAAGCAGACTCCCCCGCTGAGCAGGGAGCATACGGGGCTCAATCCCAGGATCTGGAGATCATGACCTGAGCTGAAGGCAGATGCTCAATCATCTGAGCCACCCAGAAGCCCCTAAACCAATTTTTAAAAACAAAATCACCAGGGGTGCCTGGGTGGCTCAGTCGGTTCTCCCTCTGCCTCCTGCCCCCTGCTCATGCTCTGTCTCTCTCTCAAATAAATAAAATCTTTTAAAAAAGATAACAAAATCACCAACACCCCAAGTATTTTATATATAATATATATTTATGTATCATATGTATATATTTTTTTTAAAGATTTTATTTATTTGACAGAGAGAGAGAGCATGAGAGAGCACAGGCAGGGGGAGAGGCAAAGGGGGAGGGAGAAGCAGACTCCCCCGAGCAGGGAGCCCGTTGCAGGGTAGTCCCAGTCCCAGGACTCTGAGATCATGACCAAAGCCAAAGGCAGATGCTTAACTGACTGAGCCCCCCAGGCACCCCATATGTACAGTGTTTTTATAAGCACCAAAAAGGTATGGAAAGAAACACACCAAAGTGTGTTATTTCAGGAAGTTGAGGCAGAGAAAAATTTTCTTTATGTATTTCTATATTCTCTTACAACTTGAGTAAGGAGAAAGATAACACATTTGCATCTTTTCAATACTAAAAACAGAATCATGGATTTAGAAATAAACAGAAATTCAAGTATTCACTTAAAAGTGTAAAAAGTTAACAGCTACCAACATAACACAGATTTCTATGGAAAGAAAAGGAAAAAGAAGATAAAAGAGCACAGAACTTATTTCAGTTTGTGCTAATGAACAAATTATTTTGGACAGCATTATGCAAAATCAAGTGAAAACTTACCGTACAACAGTACTGAAGGGCTATTGCATTTAAAGTATCTCCTTCCTGTATATCTTTTGTTAATACTATAATGTCATCAAGTCTATCTCTTGATGTACTTCTTCGGATTTTCTCTTTTCCTCTGGATCGAAGCTCATACACTTCAGCATCCTCCTCCAACACATCACTGTCTGTACAATTTCCAAACGCATGTACTTGACCACTTGAATGAACTCCTGGAAGAGGAAAACTACGATTCTGATGTCTCCCTGCCATGTCAAAATCTGAGGAGGAAAGAAGAAAACTTTGGAATGTACCTGATCCATTTACCTGAGTTACACGAATCTTATATTCAGGACACTTAAAAAAAAAAAAAAAAAGATTTTAGTTATTTAAAAATTTAGGTTAAAGTTTTACAGATGTTAAAGTACAATTAATGTATCTGGTGGCAGAGACAATGGGACAGGAGGAAGAGGAAATCCATTCTTATAGACCATATATCACAAAACGTGGAGGTGATAAACATTTTCACAAAAGTAAATTGCTATTTTTTTTAAGGTCAAAAAACTAAGCTCCACTTATCCTGAGTATATGAATAAAATTAGGAAATATTTTTGTATTATGTATTAAAAACCTGTGATTGTATATGTACAATTTATAGTTCTAATGGACTCAAAGTATATGTTTTATATGTACAAACACAGCACTTTAATGAATCCAAATATTCTGGCTTGTTCTGCATTTTAAGTGCATGTGGGATTAAAATATCTTTTGTACTACCTCTCTACCTCCCTGCATCACACTGACTTATTTTTTTTTACCTCAGTATTTATATTTAGTACAGTATGTGCCTTCTATGTAGGTCATAATTTTGCCCTCAACCAGGGATTCTTATTCCTTAGATGCTTTTCACTAACCTTTATCAAAGTCCTCATCCAACTCAATTTATGGTCCATAAAGACTTAAGAGATTTTAGGTCACTACATTCATTTCTACTTTAGAAAAGACACTCTAAGACTGAACACTGACTTAAGTTAAAAGCATACATCAATGAATACTTTTTGTTTACTTATGCACTCTCCACTCACCTTCAAGTTGACCTGTTCTCATTAAAAACAAACAAAACAAAAACATATAAAAACTAATTCCACATTCCCAGTGCTAGCTTCATATTAATTGTTTACATAAGAAAGGATAGTAGATTGCTTTCAGTTATTGAGAAAGATGGAAAGAAGTAGACAAGTACTAAAAGGCATTCTGGAGATAAGACTTCATACTGTGACTTAGATATGAAGAGAGGTAGGAAGTTAAGGATCATGTCAAGATTTCTGATTTGCATCACTGAGTAAATGGTGATGCCATTCTCTAAAATATGGAACACTGGAAGAAAAGCGGGGGGAGGGGTGCTGGACTATGATTATAAATTCCTCTAAGAGAGCCCCAAAGAATGTCAAATAGCCAAATGGGTTATATAGTCAAATTCAGAAAGGGTTAGAAATATAATTTCATGGTTCACGTGCATAGGTAGAAACAAACTGTGTTGGTATAGATGAGATTACCTAAAGAAAGTACAGAATAAGGGGCCAAGACTGAGCCTTGAAGAACTGCTACATTTGGTATCTGAGTGAAGGAAAATCAGCCTGCAAAGAAGCTAGAAAGAGATATACAGAAGAGGAAGAAACCATCAAAACACTGTGTAATGGAAGACAAGCCCAAATGGCATCTTTTTTTTTAAGATTTTATTTGTCAGAGAGAGAGCGCACAAGCAGGGGGAGCAGCAGGCAGAGGGAGAAGCAAGCTCTCCACTCAACAAGGAGCCCAATGCAGGACTCGATCCCAGGACCCTGGGATCATGACCTGAGCCGAAGGCAGTCTGCTTAACTGACTGAACCACCCACCCAGGCGTCCCTCAAATGGTGTCTTAAAGAAGGACTTAGTTCAGTTGTAAATGCTACAAATACATTTACAACTGAAAAGAGTGAAAAAGAGAAAACAAACATAAACCCCCCAAAAGTCTGAATTTGTAATATGGATGACAACAGATTACGTTCTGCGTGTAGGCACATACGTATATAATTTATGGACTATTTCATATCATTGAATCCAACCCCTGAAAACCAGTTTCTGACCCTGCTCTACAGCAACACTTGCAATGCTTTAAAAACTCAAGGGTTTTTCTATTAGGATAACATAGATAACTAATAACTATATATTAAGCAGACTATTTCGCCCATCCCCACCCCCTATGGTGCTACTATTTATTACCATGAACTGTGATTCCTCAATTCACAGCCACCAAACTAAAGAAAGCTATCCACATTTTTCATCTCTAAAGATTTTATTTATTTGACAGAGAGAGAGATCACAAGTAGGCAGTCAGGCAGAGGGAGAGGAAGAAGCAGGCTCCCTGCCCAGCACGGAGCCCGATGCGGGGCTCGATCCCAGGACCCTGTGATCATGACCTGAGCCGAAGGCAGACGCTTAACCGACTGAACCACGCAGGGGCCCCTTCACATTTTTCATCTCTAAAGCAGTTTTGAAGTCCTGGTCACACCTATTCCTTCATGGAGTTCTAACCAAGTGACAACTCTAACAAGTTTAAAGGCTAATCTTGTTTTAATACCATAATAAATTAAAGATGCTTTATTTTTAATTCTCAAAAAGTTGAAAAAGTATCTCACCTTCACCTAAAATAGGTAACAGTTTTATTTCCACTTACTTAACCAAGTCTTTTCTATCTTGTGTTTTTAGTGTAGGAAATGTCTGTGAATCCTGTGGAGTTGTGGGCAAAATTTTATACTTATGTACATTTTTCTGGGGGGGGGGGTATTTGTTTTCCTGTTCTCAGAAGGGGTCCAGGTTTTTAAAAGTTAAGAACCACTCAATATACAGCAATTTACATGTGGCTATACTGACCCATTTAGACTTTTTTCCCTATTCTAATAATTTGTTCTTAGAATCCCAAACTGGCTTAGAACAGCTGAAATTCACTGATCAATGCCCAAAGCCATTTCACGTATTTATGTCAAACCTTCTCCATGGTACATTGCTAAATAATACTTAAAAGACTAGAACTTCATCTCACTATCTTTTCACTCTCCTGTGTAATGAAATGGAGGCAGAAGAATACCACAAGCTGGATATTGTTTTTGAATAATCAAGAATTGGTTGTGCCTCCAGTCAAAGTGGAAAGCTAGACTCAAGCAGATAATTATTATCTAAGCCAACCATACAGATTAGAAAGTACATTGTATTCAAGTCATCTGGCTCAATTTTCTTCAACCTATCTTAATTCTTAGAGTAGGAAAAAAAGCATGAATCCCCTCTTAAGAAAACTGAAAAAAGCTTGCATGCTATCTAGATTACAAAGAGTCGCAAAAATTACCAATGGATACGTTGTTAAGGCGTTCATCAGCTCACTCTGATGATGACTGAAAACTGAAACTGAAAATGGTTTCCCAAACACCTTCATAATTTGTAGGAACAGTTGTTGGGTGTTTCGCTTTGCCTTTCCTTAAGCAAGAGCAATAAAAGGGCCATAGGGCACAAGCTAGTTCAGCACTGAGACAGTCTCACAGGGACTGTATCCGCCAGGGCCAATTCAGTTTTTAAAAACTTAAATTCTCTCCCTCTCTATTCCACACACCTAGTTTTTTTCATTTCCCTGTTTACTCCCTGCAAAGATCTCGGGTTTTTATGTTACACCATCACATGGTGGACAGTGCTGACGAGAAGCCGTCAGCATTTATTCAACACAAACAATAAGTTGTGGGGAAAACATAGTGCTTAGGTTGTAAATGCGCTGATCTGGGAATCTGGCAGGTAGGAGTCCTTCCTCTGAGGCTCAGTTTCCCCGAGACTGTAACGAGGGGCTTCAGTGGGCTTGGTCGCGAAGGTCTTCCCCGCCTCGGGGTCTCCTCCATGCAGGCCGGGATCCGAGCCCTGCCCGGCCGCCCCGGCTACACCTGCGGCCGAGGGCTCCCAGCCACCTCCAGCGAGGGCGCGGCTGGGGCCCGATCCCGCCGGCCCGGACAGGGACACCCCCCATCTCTCGCCGCCATCTTTACCTGTTCTGTTAGCAGCGGGGACGCAACAAGGAGCCGGCCGTCAGGTCCGCCGCCGCGGCTCCTGTCCCGGGCAAATTCATGACCAACCCTCCGGTTTTGGCAGCCCCCGACCTCTGCCGCCACCGCAGCCAACGTCTCCGCCTTCTGGGCCGTGCGCCGCCGCCACGTCCGCAAACCTGCCGTGCGTCATCGCGTCAAGTGGGCGGAGGTGGGAAGGAGAGGGGGAGGAGGAGGAGGGCGGAGGTGGGAAGGGGCGGGGAAGGAGGCAGAGGGCGGGGACGCGAGGTGGAGACCAGACCCGGGAGCTTCCCAACCACTGGCCCGCTCCGGGCGCGCAGGCGCAGGGATGCCTCAGGGCCCGCTGGCGGGGGTCCGAGTTACAGCCCCGCCCCTGTCTCCTCCCCCTCTGCCCCACCCCTTCATCCGCCGGGAAATAGCTCGGAGGACGAGGTCCGGGGTCTAACCCCGCGCTCCAGAGCGCCTGGAGCGCTGAGCCTTTGTCCTTCGTCCACACAGTGCTGGCCGACTGTCTAGAAACTACGCGGCGGTGGGGGGTCGGGAGGAGGGAGGTTCTTTCTGACGGGAGCTGTTGTACATTTCTTCTTGCTCTGCATCTGGAGGTTTCTGTAGGGTGGAGAAGGACGCCGGAAGCTCAGTGTTGACGTCCATGTTTTAGCAAATTATGCTGTGCTTACTAGTTTTCCTGCTGAAGCTTCTAGACTTGCAGAAGAGGCAAAATACTGGAAAGAAGTCTTTGGCTGGCGGGGTACGGTTGCTTGTCTTTGTGTTTATAGGTGGGGAAAGTGAGCCACCTAGAGTCAGGCCCTGGGAAATGTTTGCCCTTGGGCTTTGGTTCTCAGGCTTCCTATTCCCAAGGAGACGAGGCTGTCTACAAATTAACTCACTTGGTTTTGGAAGGCAGCTATGCTCACCACTATACCACCAATGCTGCACTAACTCACTTGGTTTTGAAAATTAACTGAAAGTCCCTGGTAGTCACTGTTAGGGGCTGTGAGATAAGTTTGTTAGATAAACTCATGACTTCATATATTATTTTTCTCAAAGTTACTAAATGAGGTTGATCATGTGTTTGAATTTATGTAAATGATGTAAAGCGTTTTAATGATGTACTTAATGTTTCTCCGGTGTTGACGTCCGGAGACTTCGCACTTTGATGACTGTGCTGTCTTATGATGATATACATGTTAGACCCAAACAGCTGGGATGCAGAGTGCAAGAGCACTTTTCAGAATATCTGAATATTTATGCATCATGAAGACCTTGAAGCTCTGTTTTAAATTACTTTCAAAGAGTGTGTTTTTGTTTGCTGGGAAGTGCTTCAGTAAAGGTTAGGAATCCTGCACCGCAAGTTTTTTCTTTTATTTAAGGAGATAGGCACTGCAGTCCACAATGCTACAAAAAGAACTGCAGGAGAAGACTTTTTTTTTTTTTTAAGTTTGTTGTCGCTGTTCTGTGTGCTGTTGCCCTTGTGACACCCGTCTGTAACCATTTATCACTGAGACATTTTCTCATCAGTAGACAAAAGATATATTCCCTACTTGATATGTAGGGCTTCAGCTGCTCAGCCTTCATGAATGTTAATGTGAATACAACCTTCTTTCTGCATGTAGGTTACTTTTCTTATTTTAATATAAATAGGCGGTGGAATCCATGTGAGAGCCTGAGTGATAGAATTTCAAGCACTTCTACAACACTGCTAACTGGTTCCTTTCTATAAATATTTTTTTCAGTAATACCTGCATGTTCTTGAATTATTTATGTTTAACAAAGGTGCAGTTATTGAACTTTTTATAAAAAGACAATAACAGAACTATATTTTATTATTAAAATATACAAAGGAATCATTTAGCCATGAATTTTGGCCAAGTTCCAAAAAGCAGACCAGTAGGAACAAGTACTTTGTCTTTGAGAAAAAGGATGTCCCCAGAGCTCAGCAAAGCCAAAAGGATTTTCAGTTTGAGATCGCATCTGACACAGTTTTCATTTAAAGGCCGTAGATGAAAGAATATGTAGTTTCTAGGAATGTGTGTTTCTGTCACTGACTTTCAGGTTTTGTGATTTGCTCCAGAATAAAAACAGTTTTGTAATGAAAGTATAAATTGATGCAACTGGCTAGGAGTGTTATTTGGCAATATCTATCAAAGTTAAATATGCAGTTGAATTATTAAATGGTTAAGTAATTACCTTGGATTCACTCAGAGCTACATATGTATAAAATTTGATGTGTTCAGGAATGTAAGCATTCCTACAGTAATAGCCAAAAATCTGAAAATATTCTAAATGTTCATCAGTAGCAGACTAGAAACTTCTTGTACATTTAAATAAAGTAATGTTAGGTTTTTAATGTTTAACTTCAAAAGAATGAAGTTAGTCTATATTTTCTGATTTATTTATTCATTTACCTAACAGATTTTCTTTAGAGGAAAAGTATATGCAAGACCTTTATTCAAAGCGTTGGGGATACACTGCTTAAAAAGAGTTTCCTTCCTCATAGAGCGTCCATGACTAGTCACATGGAAAAATCTCCAAAGTGTGTTTTAAAGAAAAAACAGCAAGTTACATATAAGAGGTATGATGTTATTCCTTTGGAATAAAATTTTAAATGTATATCCCCTATCCCCACCCCTACACATTCATGTATCTATGCAGGGAGATACATTTAATTTTTCTTTCGGGAATATTACTAAAGAAATTTTGAACAGTGGTTGAAAAGTACGAGATGTATCAGGGAAATAAGCAGAAGACTGCCTTTTCTTCTTAGACCTCTCTATATAGGTTGAAATTTTATTACCACATGATTTTATTTTATTAAACAATATTAAGACTGCACACATTTCATTATTAAATAACTGGACTTGTTTTATCTACATTTAACCAATAGTCAACCATCCATCTCTTCTTAATCACTCATGAGTCTGTACTTTTATATTCAAGTAGTGAGTACCTGGAGAAAAGAACCAGATCAAGTCCCTTGGAAATCAAAAATGAAAGGGTAACAGAACACTGAATTCTTTTTACATTTTTTCTTGATTTCCCTCTGCTAGATTTCTTCATCCCTGATCTTTTACTCTTTGCTCCTTCCTATATCCTTTTATCGACCTTGCTTTCTAATTCTACTTTCTAGAAGCAAAACTGGAAAAGACTGTTGTACACTAAGGAAATACTTCAACTCAAATGAATTTAAAATTGTATTATGGGATGAAACCAAAAAAAACTCCCCTCTTCTGTCATCTTCATGATTGAACCTATATAGAGAGAATCTATATAGAGAGAAAATTATTGTGTCTCTTCTCGAAGAGTCCTGGAGGGAAAAAAAAAAGACTGCATGATTTAGATATGTTTTCCTGGAGATGAACGAGATGACCTCCCTAGTTGCCATTTACCCTGTGATTTTAAACACAGTGATTATCATAATCACAGCTCTGCCATTATGTGGATAAAAGAAAAACCAAGGGTACTTTAAGACTCCAGAATTGCTTATAAATGCTAGTAAATAATTCAGGGATATTAAATATGATTTGAGAATAAGCATTCCAATGCCTCCATCCATACAGACATTGCTAGATAAAAACTAGTCTCACAAATACTGTTCCTAAATTCATTAGCTAGGTAGTTGGTACATATAAAAATGAATAGTTGCATGTTTAGGATTAAGTAGACTGTAACTTAAATGCTTTGTTTACCATAATCTTTACCATCACTATGGTCACGTAAGTAAATTGGTGCAGGTGAATGCCCGAGAAGCTATAACCTGCTTGTTATTGTGCCTTCTTCTCCAAAGACCTGCATGGTCAGACAGAATTCAGTTCACCAAAAGAAAACATTAAAAGAATGACCCACTCTATAGAATTGGGTGCGAGCAGAAGGTGATTATCTGAAAGTGGAGAGTAAGTCAAAATAGAGTCCAGATAGTGGACATCTGTTAGATTTTTTAGGTGTTCAATAGTGTGCTCATGGAGGGACACCTGGGTGGCTCAGTCGGTTAAGCGTCTGCCTTCGGCTCAGGTCATGATCCCAGAGTCCTGGGATCAAGTCTTACATCGGGCTCCTTGCTCAGCGAGGAGCCTGCTTCTCCCTCTGCCTGCCTCTGTCACTCTCTCTCTAATAAATAAATAAAATCTTAATAAAAAATAAATACTGTGCTCATGGAGTCAGGAAGATTAGGGGGTGGGGAAGCATAAAGGGAGAATGGAAGAGGTAACAATGTCTTTTCATTCTAGCCTGTGCCTCTTAGAGACCACTTCTGTGATAATCCTCAGCTTGACCAACAGTATCTGAAAAACCAAGCTAGAAGTTCAAAAGCAAAACTTCTATGCCCATATAAAGAATCATAGAACAGTGAGCTGTATATGCCTAAACTGAAGTAGGGCTTATCTGACAAAGTATAGACAGAAATTACATCTATTCAATTGACAAATAATTAGTTAAACACGACTGTGTTTAAGGCCCTATTTTTAGCACTGGGGATATGTGCCCCAAACAAACAGGCCCATATCATGCTCTCATGGAGCTTACATTCTCATGGTGGAAGAGAGAAAAATAAAATGAATAAATGAAACATTAGTATGCTAGATGGTGATAAATGAATGGAGAAAAATTAAGTACAGAAGGAGGTTGGAGTGTTTGGGGTGGGGGGATTTGCATTTGTGATAAGGTGGGTAGGAAAAGGCCTGGTTGGGGGTGCCTGGGTGGCTCAGTTGGTTAAGCGTCTGCCTTCAGCTCAGGTCATGATTCCAGGGTCCTGGGATTGAGTCCCACATCGGGCTCCCTGCTCAGCAGTGAGTCTCTTTCTCCCTCTTCCTCTGACCCTCTGCCTGCTTGTGTTCACTCTCTCTCCCTCTCCAAATAAATAAATAAATATCTTTATTAAAAAAAAAGTAAGATGCCTGATTGAAAAGGTGATAGACTGACACAGGCCTGAAGAAAGTATATGAGCCATGTTGAGACCTGGGAGGAGAACTTGCTAGGCAGAAGGAACAACCAAGTGCCAGGTCCCCGAGAGGAAGTGTGCCTAGTGTACTGGAGAAATAGCAAGAAGACCAGCAGGGCTCCCGCGGATTGCACAATGTGGGAGAGCAGCAGGAGATGAAGTTAGAAGGAGCTAAATTGGATGAGACTGTGTAGGCCATTACCAGGACTCAGTTTTAGTCCGAACAAGATGGGAAACCATGCA